CACGGCTTGGCCCTTGAGGGTTTCCACGTTGAAATTGTTGGTCCGAGCTGGCATGATAAAGAAGGCAACCACTGTCTGCTCGCTGCCGTTCACCTGGGGTAGGAGGAAAAGAGTGAGAGGGTTAGGATCACACCCTTTCCCATCCCTCAAGAACACAAGGACACTGCCATGACTACCCTCTTTTTTTTTTTTTTTTTTTTTTTGAGTCAGAGTCTCGCTTTGTTGTCCAGGTTGGAGTACAATGGCAAGATCATGGCTCACTGCAGCCTCGACCTCCTGGGCTCAGGAAATCCTTCAACCTCAGCCTTCTGGGTAGCTGGGATTACAAGCGTGTGTCACCACACCCAGCTAATTTTTTGATATTCTGTAAGACGAGGTTTCTTTATGTTGTCCCAACCGGTCTTGAACTCCTGGGCCCAAGCAATCCTCCCGCCTTGGCCTCCCAAAGTGCTGGGATTACAGGCATGAGCCATTGCACACAGCCATGCCCTTTCTTGTCAAGAATTGTAGGACAAGCTGGGAGCAGTGGCTCCACACCTGTAATCCCAGCACTTTGAGGGGCCGAGGTGAGAGGACTGCCTGAGCCCAGGGATTCAAGATCACTCTGGGCAACTTGGTGACACTTCGTCTCTACAATAAATCAAAAAATGAGCCAGGCATGGTGGCGCACACCTGCAGTTCCAGCTACTTGGAAGACTGAGGCAGAAGGATTGCCTGAACCCAGCAGGTTGAGGCTGAGGTGGCTGTGAACATGGCACTGTACTTCAGCCTGGGTGACAGATTAAAACTCTGACTTAAAAAATAAAAAAGAATTATAGGACAGAGTGACTGTCCCCTCTGGGACTCTGAGTTTTGTGGGTCACTATACTCTCCTCCCCCAGACCCATACACAGTGGTTTCCCTACCTCCACCTCCCTGGGCCTCTGTTCTCCCCAGTTATGTACTGATTTCTCTTATCCCCCCTTTCTCCCCCTCACAGCCCAGGCCTCACTCTGAGCAGATAGTTGAGCCGGGCCAAGGCCTCCAGGAAGACGTCAGCCCCCTTGTTGGAGAATTCATAGCGGCCGGCGATAAAGAAGTACAAGGTCTTGTCCAAGTTGAAGTCCAGATGCCTACAGAAGCCACAAGGCAGGGTAAAGCCAAAGATCCTCAACCTCTCGCTCTGGCTTTCAAACTATAAATCTCAGAAACTACAGGGATGAAAGGATATCTTAGACAATGCATTATGGGGTCAGCTGGGAGATGTGGGTCATTTCTCTTTAGATGGGGATTTTAATAGGTGGGGACCCCATTGTTCAAGGGCTGAAGAACTCAGGAGGCTGTCTCCAGCTGCCTCCTCCCTCAGACCCAGGAGTCTGGACCCCTAGCTGCCTTCTCCCTCAGACCCAGATGGGCAGACACCCAACATCTTCCTCTCTTAAGACCTAGGCATATGCCCCCACATACCCATAAAAATGGCCCCGCACAAACTCCTGGATTCGAGCCTTGCTCTGAGCATGGAGGTTCTGGAACTCATGCATGGCAGAGAACTTCTTCACATTCAGTCCATTGGGGGTCACAATATCTGGGATGGGGGAGAGGGTCCCATATTGCATTTGTTCATTGAAATCAATGTGGCCAAATGAATAAATGACAGAAAGACCCCTTTCCTTGTGCAACTTTTTTGTCTCAGTGGCACCCTGTGAGCTCCCTCAGTGACACACTTACCTGCCTCCTCGATGTCTTCTTGTCCAACGTGACTTACGTTCACAAGCACAACTACACGTCTCCTCAGCTCCTACAAGTGGCTGACCAGACAGGGCCTGATCCCCACCAGGGATTCTCGGGGAGCTGCAATTCTATTGTTTGCCCTTATCCCACCCTGAGATGGAAATGATTAAACATCCCCAAAGTCCTGCTTCTCCTAGGACAGATCTTCTCCCTTTCAGTCTCTTTCAGAAGCCCAACCATTTCTTCTAGAAATTAAAGCGTATCAGTGAAAAACTACAACTCCCATGAAGCATCTAGGGCAAAGTTCTGGGAGCATATGGAACTGGCCAGTCAAAGGCTTTCTGGGAGTTGTAGTTCTCACCTTATACTTATTGAGAATCAGTAATGGATCCTAAGGGCTGGGAAGAGGAGCTGGTTCCAACCTTACATTTTCTCTTTTTTTTTTTTTTTTCAGAGGAGGCAGGTCTTGGTCTTGTTTTGTCGCTTAGGCTGGAGTGCAGTGGTGCAACCATAGCTCACCACACAGCCTTGACCTCCTGGGCACAGGCTATACTCCTGCCTTAGCTTCCTGAGTAGCTGGGACTACAGGTGCATATCACCTTGCTCGGCTAATTTTTAAAACAATTCTTTGTAGAAATGGGGGTCTCACTATGCTGCCCAGGCTGCCAACCTTACTTTTCTTTTTGTTTTTTTGGTTTTTTTTGAGTCAGAGTCTCACTCTGTTGCTCAGGCTGGAGTGCAGTGTCACGCTCACTGCCACTGCAGCCTTGACCTATAAGGGCTCAGGTGATTCTTCTACCTCAGCCTTCCATGTAGCAGGAACCACAGGCATGCGCTACAATACCCAGCTAATTTTTGATTTATTGTAGAGACCAGGTCTCGCCAAGATGCCCAGGCTGATCAAGAACCCATGGGCTTAGGCAATCCTCTCACCTCGGCTTCCCAAAGTGCTGAGATTACAGGTTTGAACCACCACTCCCGGCCCTTACTTTTCTTTTTTTTTTTTTTGAGTTGGAGTCTCAACTCAAAAAAAAAAGTTCCAGGAGCTGGAACTACAGGTGTGCGCTACCACGCCTGGCTCATTTTTTAAAAATTTATTGTAGAGATGAGGTCTCGCCTGCCCAGGCGAGTCTTGAAACCGCGGGCTCAGGCAATCCACTCACCTCAGCCTCCCAAAGGCGTGGGATTACAAGCTGAG